GATTGCCGTCGAACACCTGCACTCGCCAGACACATGCGCACGCCATCCCCGACCTATCACTGCCCATTTCGATATGAAACAGAGCGTGCCTTGCGTGGCTCATTTAATATTCTCTGCATGGCAATATACCAGCCGCATAATTGGCTAATGATTACTCGCGAGTGGCAACGGGTTTGCAGCAAAAGCCTAATGATTCAGGTACTAAATGAGGCAGTGGCGGCGCTTATGTACCACTCAATCAAACTCGAGAAGGAGGACTTGGAGAAGTTCAAAGCATTGCGGGTAGTGGTGAAGATCGGCTACGGCTTCGACAACATCGATGTCAAAGCGGCTACCGAGTTAGGTGAGGAAATGATCATGAGTGAATATCGTTCGCACATGAGTGTAAAAGTTGTTTTTCCAATATTTGACTGGAGAAGGGACGTGTGTATGCACTGCGAGCAGATCGCGCTTCCCTATCGACTAAGTAATAAATGCCCGAGGCCAGTTAGCCCAGTAGAGCGCCTTTCACTCAGCAGAAATGGACGCAAATGCTATTTGAGGTTTGGGCATATCCTGTGAGACGCATTGTTTACTTCGAGATTCGCAACATTCGCTAAGAGCCTTCACTCGAAACGTTGCGAACTGCAAGTGCAAGATGGGGACAGCTATATAGTGCCTCCCCAGTCACCATTCAACCTATCTGGCGACAAGTCAGAGAATTTTTTGGAAAAACGGTCAAGTTAAACTTGTGTTCATAGATAATGCAGACTCTCTATATTTTACCGCAGACACTATGCAGTTTTGTGGACAATAAACAAACTCTAACTAAGTGGCATAATCGAGGTAAAGTCGAGACATGAGCGCAGCAAGCGATATTGCTTATCGGTTTTCAATGAGAATCACAAAGTATTACCTGCTTTATTTCTGAGTAATTCGCCAGGAGTAAACCATAGGCAGTTTTACTAGTTAGTCTTCTAATTGTAAAGATCTATGACAAACTTCTAAATGGTAACGCCTCCGAGAGGTTGACTTGAAGTATATTCTAATTATATCCGAACGTTCTCATGGCAGGACAGTGGATGTTTTTCTGCGTATAATCCACACATCATACGTATTTCATGGTTACAGCAGGCTGCATTATTTGCTAAGAGTATATACAATTTGAATGACTGATTTTAGGTATCGCAGTATGCCATACTCCTGGGGATTGCATCGAAGAAATAGCCGATTTTACGATGTCTCTTATTTTGAACCTCTACAGGAGGACGTATTGGCTCGCTAAAGCCGTGAGCGAGGGTAAGAAGGTGAGTCTGAGCTTTCCATTCATCTTACCACATTTAT